CCTTTCTTTAGTAGAGACCATCATCTTGCTCCCTGATACGGAGGCAAATTAAACTATCTATAGGCCCTTTTATTTTCATCCATTACTGTATTTATCTCTTTTTCAATATACTTTTATATTAGTATTATTATTATTTTCCCTTTTTTTAATTTTTATTATTACTTCATTTATTTATTTGGATTTATTATTATTATTATTATTATAGTTATTATTTGTTATTTCCTGTTTTAGAATGTGTGTGGATGGGTAGATGTGTGAGTACATGTAGTGTTACTGTGTGTAATACAGAGACTGGATCTCCGTTACATGCTTGTCTCGTCCTTGGACCTAAGTTGGGGTGGGCTCAGGGTGGGCTAGGGTTGGGGAGAAACCAGCAATTTTTTTTTCTTCTCTCTCTTTTTTCCCCCTCACCTTTTCTCTCTCTTTTATCTGAGATCACTGTTTTCGTTGTCCTAATGATTATGTCAAACTGTTAAAATTCAATAAAGTTGGGGAAAAAAAAGGTTTCAAAAGACAAATCCTGAGGAGAGCCAAGGTGCAGCTGAGGTTGTCCAGTGCAAAGGCAATTTATAACAAACACCAAAAAACTCATACAACACACTTGGACACACAATGATGAACCCATGCACAAACAGGAAGGAGACATCTACACTGTCAGAGATTAGACACCACATCCGCTTGATGCTCTCATCTGCAAAGACAGAGAAGTTAGTGAAATAAAGTAAAACAAATATTCAAAACGTGTATCTGATGTCCTCACACATCCACATCCACAGTCCGGTGTGTCTGATGGTAAACCAGATGTTACAACCAGGTTCAAAACAGAGCAGGTCAGTGACAACACTAAGTCTGTACAGCTGGGCTCGCTTATCTGTTTAGGACTTACTGTTTCAGTTACAATGTTGGGGTTCTTCTAAGAGCCAAAACGTTGGTTACGTACTGTAACCCCAGATTCTATGAGTATAGGCATAGCCCTTTAGGACTGTCGCTATTGGGTTTATCCCTAGGCACGCAGCGCAGCACTGAAAACTTTAGTCCACGCCCACCTGCTGTGTGGGCCTTACCTCCGGTCCATATAAATTACTGTGAGACCGGGTAATCAGCTCCCAAAGAGCTTTTTTCTTCAGCCATTAGGAACCAGTGAGGCCCAGAGCTTAAAGGGCTACGCCTACACTCATAGAATCTGGGGTTACAGTACGTAACCAACGTTCTATCTCGTATAGGCTTCACCCTTTAAGACTGTTGCTAGTGGGTTAAAGGCGAAGCAGGATGTAGTCTATGCCTCACTGGGTCCATTCAGACACAACATGAAACACCTGCTTGCACAAAAAACCATTTCATCACTCAGCCTTCTGTGTGCGTAATTACGTTGAGGGAAGAAACACCGATCGGTAAAACCCTCCACTCTGGAGATTGAGGCGAATGTGGAGACGGATGTCTTCAGCTTGCCGGGCCCAGCTGCAGCCTCGTTTCAGTGTGATGTCACAGCTGGACAGCGAGGCCAGATGGGGTCAGGGTGACGAGCCGGGGCGGAGCCAACCTTGCCGCCAGATCATCCGATCAGGGCGGAGGGAGGCGAGGGACAGAAAATCCCTTGTGTTAACATCGTCCTGGAATATGCCAGGCAGCTCCGAGAGGAGGGCGCTGATGGCTGGGAGCGGTGTGGTCACCGACGTGGGAAGATCCGAGGTGGCTGAGCATCCGCTTGGCCACTCGCTTTCCATCACTACGCTCTCCAGGAGGGAAGGGGCAGCTCCGCATCGCCTTTCTCGGAATAATTATTTGATTCACTGCGTGACTCTGCGTCAAAGAAGGCGGTGGCGTCGGCCCGCGCATAGCATCCCACCACAGAAAAAAAAAAAAAAAACACTCAGCGGAGCTGCTGCCAACAACGCCTTTTTCGAGGGAATCATCCAATTCACCTCGAGAAAAAAACACGTTAGAAAAGGCGGTGGCGTCGTCCAGCGAGTAGCGGCCCTCCACGGAAAAACATTCAGCGGGGCTGTTGCCAACATCGCCTATTTGAGGAAATCATTCGATTACCACAAGGAAAAAACGTTAGAAAAGGCGGTGGTGTCGTCCAGCGAGTAGCAGCCCTCCACGGAAAAACATTCAGCAGGGCTGCTATTAACATTGCCTTATTCAAGGAAATCATTTGATTACCATGGGGGGAAAAAACCCCGTTAGAAACGGCGATGGCGTCGTCCAGCAGGTAGCGGCCCACCACAGAAAAGCACTCCTGGGTGCTTACCTTGAACAAGGCTGCTCGTCTGCTTCTCCTCTGGGAGGAAGAGCTCACCCGGATGGCAGGAGGTTGGCGTGGTAGAAACCCAGGCATCCTTAGCAAAGGTTGTGCCGGTCAAAATTGGATAACTTTTCCTTCTTCATTCGTCTGACAGTGCTAGCTAGCTGGCTGAAGAAAAAATGGGAGCCGATTACCCGGTCTCACCGTAATTTATACGGACCGGGGGTAAGGCCCACACAGCAGGTGGACTAAAGTTTTCAGTGCCGCACTGCGCGCCTAGAGATAAACCCACTAGCGACAGTCTTAAAGGGCGAAGTCTATACAAAATAGAACTATGTTTTCTTTAAAAGTTGTTTTAAATGCAAAGCAGCAACATCCCTGTAGCCATTGCTGGAGCAGTAATTAGCACCATTTTCTCCTGGTGCAGTCTATTACCAGCTGCCGTAGATCTGATAGGTGTTGTCTCAGTACAAGAGATAGCTTTAAGCTTAGCCGACAATCGTACAGTACGTCACTGCTGTCAGGAAATGAGGTGGACCCTACGTATGGAAACCAGAGTGCTCAAAGAAAAATTTGTAAACTAAACTTAAAAGCTGGATCCATGCCAGGAAATGAACCAATGCAACTAAACTCTCCCCATTCTACCAAGAAGAGTGATCAAATATCCAAAAGATAATTATGCCAGAAGTTTGTTGATGGCTACAAATAGAGTGTGTTTGAAGTACAACTTGCTAAGGGACATTTACCAAAACAATATTAGGGATGTATACATTTTATCTTGCACGTATCATTTTAACCCTGTGTGGACTAAAAACACTGTACAATAAACACAAACAGCCCTATTCGCACGGGATTAGTTTTACCTAGGGACCACATGCTATTTGTAATAATTACGGAGATTGTCTGTGTTGTTAATCCCGTGCAAATCAGCCATGTCAGAAATTTGTAAAGTAAAAATCCCCCCACAAATTGCCTACTATATTTTGCTGAACTCCGAGGTCCTGTGATAATACTAATCCAATGCGAATAGGCATCTCTATGATTTGGACAGAAATGGACGAGAGCCGATATGTAATTAGGCAGTTTTTGTTTTGTGTTTTAAGCAAAATCTTTTGGAAAAATATAGAACAAGGCTATTTCAAATGAATGCGCTGCTTGCTTTGGCTTTTGTAGATGCTACTACTTCCTTCACCGCAAATAACAACAGGTGTGGAGACGCGCGCATGCAGCCAGTGATCAGCTGACCCATCCATCCATCCATCCATCCATCCATTATATTTACCAGCTTCTTCCTTTTCGGGTAGCGAGTCACTGGTGCCCATGTCCAGCCATCACTGTGAGAAAGGTGGGGGACACCATGGACAAGTCGCAAGTCCATTTCAACCGGTGGGTCAGCGGACGCGAGCGGCCAGTGACAGGTTGTCCATCTGAGCTTAACATGGCTTTTATTTACCTTTTAAATCGGCCAGTCTGACCCGCCTCCTCCTCAAGTAGATTAACACAATTTTATTGTGCATTCTTATTTAGTTTTCTTTGTGCTGATTTGTAAAACCTCATCAAATCTTGAGACCGGCCCGGCCCACATATTAAGCACATTATATGGATCAGCCCAGTCGTGACAATGCAGCACGTTAACATCATATCCAGATGTCCATAAATTTCGGCTAAAGCTCAAGCTTTGGTTATCCCGTGCGAATACGTCACATAAAAAGCAGACATTGGGGAGTAATTTATTTATTACATGTGGTCCTTAGGTAAAACTAATCCTGTACACCTACTTCCTGTTTTGAGAAACTATTGAAGTTTGTTAAATAGCCATTCTACAATGGGCAAAGAATCCATCCATCCATTATCTTTTACTCGCTTCTTCCATTTTTGGGTCACGGGGGTCGCTGGTGCCCATGTCCAGCAATCACAGTGCGAGGGGCAGGGTACACCCTGGACAGGTCGCAAGTCCATCACAGGGCCACATAGAGACAAACGAGACAAACAACCATTTTGGGCAAAGAATGGTTCAAATAAATTTAAAAGCTTACATTTAAGATGACTTGATGAGTTGCAGCTGAAAATAGATTCACTGATTCCCGTGTGAAGCTAAAAAGAATCTCTGAACATTTAAAGATCTTTCAAAGATCTTTCAGTACAAAGAAAAGGCTTAAATGTATCTCCTCTGTGCTGGCTCCCTTTATTGGCTCCATGTTCCCTTTTGAATTGATTTAAACGTTTTATTGATCACCTATTAGGCCCTGGCTGGACAGGCTCCTGACCTGTCTGACCACCTGCAGCCCTCTGTGCCCTTCTGATCCCGTAGATCTTACAACCGTTTGGTTTTAACTGTCCCGATGTCTGGGCTTCTTGTCCTTTTCTGATGTTGCTTCTAACTGTGAAATCAGCTGCCCCTTCATACTGAAGAGGCTTCAACTTTTGCTGTTTTTAAAACTCATTTGTATTCACTGGCTTTTAATACAGCATGGAGTTTACTTTTTTCAAATATAATTTTAATGTTTTTAATGTCATATATTATTAACAGTATTCCTATCCTTGGTAGGTTTTTTCTTTTTCTTTTCAGCACTTGTGGTCTACAGTTGTTTTAAAATATGCTATATAAATATGTTTGATTTGATTTTATAGTTCTAAAATTTTGATTATAAGAATTAATGACAATCTACATTTGTGGTGAACATGCAAGAAGCTGCCTGTCTTCTTACAACAAACTGTTTTATATGTTTGTTTGTTTTTGTGCTTCAGGTCAATAATGGATTTGGTGGTGAAAATTGAGGTCATTCTATCAGTTTACATCATCTCGTTTCTGATTGGCTTCCCCGCCAATCTCCTGGCTCTTTATGCCTTCAGTGTCAAGATCTACTGCAAACCACGTCCAACAGACATCCTCCTTCTGAACCTGACTGTGTCCGACCTGCTCTTCTTGATCGTTCTTCCTCTCAAGATGTACGAGGCATCGTCTGGCATGACTTGGAATCTGTCAAACGTCTGGTGCAGCATCACCGCCTTCACCTTTTTCTCCACAATCTACACCAGCTCCTTGCTGCTGATGGCTATCAGCATGGTCCGCTACTTAGCAGTGGCTTTCCCTATCACCTATCAACAACTGCAGAAACCCGTGTACCCTATCGTCATCAGTGCGGCCATCTGGCTGATCTCAGCAGGACACTGCAGCATCACGATCGTCATCCAGCACCACCCGTCAATGTCCAGCTCCAACTCTTCTGTCTGCTATGAAAACTTCACAGAGAAGCAGTTGGAGGTTCTCCTCCCAGTGCGTTTAGAGTTCTTCTTTGTGCTCTGCCTCGCGCCGCTTTTGATTTCAACTTACTGCTACCTGCGCTTGATTTTGATTCTGTACAGCCGTCCCAGGATTTCAAGGATGCAGAAGAAAAAGACCATTGGGATGGCTTTAGGGACTCTTGCCGTCTTCCTCATTTGTGTCCTGCCATACAATTTTTCTCATTTACTGGGTTACTTCCAGGGTAAAAGCCCACAGTGGAGGTACTACACATTGCTGCTCAGTACATTAAATGCATGTATTGATCCCATCATCTTCTATTTTTCCTCCTCAATCTTCCATTGCACCAGCAAAAAATCCATTTTAAGGAAGCATGCAATACAGAGACAGATGCAGGGCACTAGTTCTACCTGAGAGTGAAACATTTTGTTAATGTGTGTAAGTAAACACAGAGCTCATGTGCTAATATTTACTGAAATTACAGGCACACTCATAATCTGTCATTTCTTGTTCATGTATTCGTTTAGTTGTTTTAAACACCTTCAACATGTTTTTACTGTCCCTTCTTGCTAAATGGGATCAAGGTTTATTTAATGTTTATGTGAAGTCCACCTCAAAATGTTGTTAACCTATTTAGAACAAAAGCACAAGATATGTTTGTAGATATGCAAGCTTCCACAGTTTATTCATCAGTAAGTTGTGACATCATTTTCTGCTACTTGTTTTTTTTTTTTCCTGGTCTACTTTAACGAGGGCCGGCCACTCTTCTGCACTCATGCATTCTGTAGGCACACATGTAGAATATACCTGTAAGGCAACAACAAAAATCAGCTTTAAAGACAGAAACAATTATTATCATTACCAGTTTTTTCACAAAGGACAGACAGAATAAGAATAAGATAACTACAAGCCAGGAATTAAATTATATTTACAAAAAGCAATTAAAACCCTTTGAAACAAGTAGTAATGTACATGTTTTTGTACATAGCATGATTAAAAAAAAAACATTTTTTGTAAAATTGGTTAATTTGAAATTGTACAGATATTTACAAGTGCATTGTTTTATAATAAGAGAAAATGAGAATTTCTGTAAATAAAAATCTAAACAAACGCCAACAGTTTATTTTATATTCTATAATATTCAATAGAATGGCTTGCATGTCTTTTGTCTGAATTGTTCAAGACTGCACATTTTGTTCATCCTCAGTGAAATGTAGTAACTGCATCATAATCTGTCATGTGCACGCATGAACCAACCTGAAAAAAAGGTCATGAGCAGAGCCACCCAGCCTAGTATGTAGGACCAAGAGAAACGCCAGTCACCAAAACGCTTGCCCAGGAAGTTCACCGTCACACCGGTGTAAATGGCCATTGCAAGCAGGACAAAAAGAGCTGTTGTGGAGAACATCAGAAAATTCATGTCCTTAAAACTAAAGCTCAGCTGTTACTGGGGTAACTGCAATATTAACATTTTCTGAACTTTGCATTATAAACTAATCATCTGATCATTATTGTGTTCTTCATGTGAGGAGAGCCAAAAAAAAAGATGGAGTTACTGGTTTACAGCATCTACAACTCACTTGAAACAAAGAACATGATGCCAGCAGCAAATGATCGGTTGAACCTCTCAAAGGCAGAGAAGTGAGCGAAGGAGAGGATTCCTGCAATGATGCCAGCAAAGCACGACATGGCGGACAGGATCATAAAAGCTCGAGTGGCGTTCCAGTAGGCTGAGAAGGAGAGAAAGTAATTCAAGGACAAATTTACAAAGCTTTAATTTGACAGTTCATTCAAATTTAATACAGCT